CGTACATTTGAAATATTATTAGCACGTTGAATGCCGCGTGATTTTAAGTCTTGTTGAATGTCTCCGTATTCGGTAGCGTTACTTACTATATAGGAATGTTTTCGAATAATCCTCGTTTAACAACGCTAATGGCCTATGCACGCAAAATTTGGAAGAACGCGATTTTGGAAGAACAAAAATGTGAAAAGTTCTCTTATACCTTTTTTTGTGAAACAAAAAAACTTTCCTTTCTGTTACTGCAAAACAATCGCTGCGACACCGCGTCTCTCGTATGCATAAGCGCTAACAAGTGTACTTGTGCTGTTTCGGAATTCACGACTTCAATTCTTTACACGATAAAAGTATTCACCGAGTCCGTTGGTCACGGAATGCTCATCAGCGGGATCGATAGATGACGTGCGTCAATGGTGCGCCGGATAATCGGCGTACCAGCTGAAAGCCCCGTTGGACCCTGTGTATCCGCCAAAATCCACGTAATCCAGGACAGGAGTAACCGACCTCTCCAGACGCGGGTTCTCCAGGTCGTCCTGATGATTACTAGGAATAGCGATCGGTATGTAACTGCCGGCTTGTCGAGCAATCCTCGGCGTGACCGGACTCAGCTCGATCACGTCGACCCCGTCCACCGGTATGGCGATGTAACGGCGGCCGGCCAAAGCACCGTAGACGCCGCACAAAAGAATCAATGTTACAGTCTGAAATAGCGTAACACGGGAATTTAACACATCGTTGCTGGTCAAGTCAGGCATTCAAGGGAACGAGGCCCTTTTACGCGCATGCCCCGGCTGGGAATTAGTTTATTAACACGATAACCGCCGCGCACGTCGCACGATTCGGGAAAGTTGCGACGAACTTTTTGCAGTCTACCGGGTGTCTCGACTTTAGAAGTCCTGTTGTAAGTGTATTTGATATGAATTATGGAATAATGGTACTCACGCATTATGCGGACTACCTTTGTTTTCAAGAAATGAAATATTAACACTTTCGCTGCCACGGTGGACCCATGAGACCGTAGCTTCGAAATGACTTGAGAACAATTGTAATTCATCAGACAGCTGACGTCGAATAAAAATGTTTAATAACGTGAATAATTGGATCACAGTGTAACGTAAGAACTGTGGTAGCAAATAATTAATAATTGTTCCTTTTTATCCTTACTACAAAGGAATAATAGTAATAATGATGGTAATGGTAGTAGAATATTAATAATGTGTTATAGTATTAAATGAATGTTAACACATTGTTGACCGGCAATTTAGCGCATAAGCTATCCCATGTCTCCGGTTATTATTCCATAATTAAATATGAATGGAAAACAATCTAAATAAACTTCAATATACTTTATTTATGCATAATGAATTGAATGAAACTTTGGACACATATTTTATGCAATTTTTAATATTTTGCTCTTGCAATGTTCTATATTGCCATGCGTTTCAATAATTGAAATAGTTAATGCAAGTGCACCTTCGCTTAGGAAACAAAGGTGGTTCGTATGAGAAGTACCGTCATTCCAATGGGTACATCAAACAACTAAAATAAGATAAAATCTGTATAAATAATGAGATTGTATGATCATATCTTACGTAAAACGTCATAGGAAACAGAAAAATTGTTTATCTTCGATTCTGCAAGGTCGTCCCAAGGTCAGTACAAGGGTATCTTGAAATAGTCTGTTCTTTGTATTTTCTCGATGTCAAATGGAAAATATAGCATTATGATAAAAATTCAGGAGATGACCTTGACATGACCCTAAGAAATGGAGGTAAAACAATTTTCTATTCACCGCTACATTATACGTAAAGAATGATGATAAAAGGCACTACATTTTTGCTATAGCACCTACTAGTTCAATAAGTCTATCAAATGGCACTTACAGCGAGACACTCTATATACGATAGGAAGAGAAACTCAACCGATGAAAGTTTGTTCTTAGAACAGCGTGACTTGGATGAAACATTTCGAATGAAATGTGGATAGTGTCAAATGCGACGCGAAGGATATTTTTTATTTCAAGGATATAT